GCATGTGACAAATAACATTTGATTTGGAGTGTCCATTTTCTTCATATTCTGTTAATATTGCTATTTCCTATATGTCAGCATTCTAGTGCCCTATAATTACACCCAAGAGACAAACAACTTCGGCAGAGTCCGTGTCTCCAGGTTGCTGTCATGTTTACACTAATAGGCTATTGCACAAAATTGCCTTATTACAATGTGATGTGAAGAGAGGACAGACACTTTTGTTACTTTGGATTAGAGACCCTCAACCTTACACTCGCTGCGAGTGACTAGAGTGGCCAATCGAAGAAGCCAGTCAAGTAGAATGTAGGTAGACAACCAGTTTTCCCTCCCGGTAAACGCGAGCCCCTTCGATAGCCTGTGTTGTGGTCACGAGGGTGTCGCACTGTGCCCTGCTTTCCTCACTTGTACAAAACAGGCGACGGAAATGGATAACAGTTTTTCATACTATACCAGCACGGGTTGGTCCAACGAACCTGTCATATAGAGAGCCTGTCAAATGTTCTCCAATTTATAAAACCGTTATTATAGGTCAATTCTCAGTAAAATAAATAACCAAGTGCCTCAAATGATTTCTATAGATCAATAGCACAATCCATCACAACCAATGCATTCCAGACATTCCGGAAACATGATGTCAGTTGAGTCCGTTAAAAGTTTCGGTTTTGCGCAACATTGTAAGCTAAAAACCTATGGATCCACCTCAATTAGATATACATCGGTGCGGATTAACTGTGGTTAATTAAAGGCCAGCATTTTAATGTTCATGCAACGGTTACATTTTGTCATTTTTAGATCGAGTTCATATTTGGTGACTAGTATCCCTTGCTATGCCGCAGGTCGAGCTGGATCAAAGTGGAAAGGTAGCTATAATACTACCATGACACAACTCAGGAGTAAACCAAATAGCTTGCCATTGCAAATGCAGTTGCACACACGACTGCACTCCCCGCCATTATAGGCCTATACAGCTAATGGATTACAACAAGACTGAAATTCCATGCTTGTCTTAAAAATGAAGATATTAACATCACATAATATTTCTAACAGTTAAATACAGATAGTATAGATCAAACGGACATTCATCGCACATAACAAGGAACATTTAAAAAAGGCCAAGATCTCGTCATCTACAAGACCCTTGCATTTGACCATGGAACTCAGCTGGTTCCATAGTGTAGTGGTTATCACGTCTGCTTTACACGCAGAAGGTCCTGGGTTCGAGCCCCAGTGGAACCACAACTTTTTGATGACCCAAAGAAAACATTCATTTACATTTTAGTCATTTAGCAGACGCTCTTACAGTTAGTGAGTGCATACATTTTTTATTTTTTAAAATTTTTCATACTGGCCCCCCGTGGGAATCGAACCCACAACCCTGGCGTTGCAAACGCCATGCTCTACCAACTGAGCTCCATACTGATACTATTGTTGACTGATAGTTTTACACTGGCTGAATCCAATATCTAAGATATATTATAAACTGGGTGGTTCGAGCCCTGAATTCTGATTGGCTTACAGCCATGGTATATCAGACCATATACCACGGGTATGACAAAACATTTATTTGTACTGCTCTAATTACGTTAGTAACCAGTTTATAATAGCAATAAGGCACCTCAGGGGTTTGTGGTATATGGCCAATATACCACGGCTAAGGGCTGTATCCAGGCACTCTGTGTTGCGTTGTGCGTAAGAACAGCCCTTAACCGTGGTATATTGGCCATATACCACACCCCCTTGGACCTTATTGCTTAATTATCTAATGCCAATTTAAAACATACAATTTAAAAAAATGTTCTCAGATGATTACAGATTTAGTGTTGAGTCACTAGTCTACATACCAGTTACCAAACCTACTACATTACATGACCAAAAGTATGTGGACACCTGCTTGTCGAACTTCTTATTTCAAAATCATGTGCATTATGGAGTTGTTTCCCCCTTTACTGCTAGAACAGCTTCAACTCTTCTGGGAAGGCTTTCCACTAGATGTTGGAACATTGCTGCGGGGACTCGCTTCCATTCAGCCACAAGGGCATTAGTGAGGTCGGGCACTGATGTTGGGCGATTAGGCTTGGCTCGTAGTCGGCGTTCCAACTCCTCCCAAAGGTGTTCGATGGGGTCGAGGTCAGGTCTCAGTGCAGGCCAGTCAAGTTTTTCCACACCGATCTCGACAAACCATTTCTGTATGGACCTCGCTTTGTGCACAGGGGCATTGTCATGTTGAAACAGGAAAGGGCCTTCCCCAAACTGTTGCCACACAGTTGGAAGCACTGAATCGTCTAGAATGTCATTGTATGCTGTAGCGTTAAGATTTCCCTTCACTGGAACTAAGGGGCCTAGCCCGAACCATGAAAAACAGCCACAGACCATTATTCCTCCTCCACCAAACTTTACAGTTGGCACTATGCATTGGGGCAGGTAGTGTTCTCCTGGCATCCGCTAAACCCAGATTCGTCCGTCGGACTGCCAGATGGTGAAGCGTGATCCATCACTTCAGAGAATGCGTTTCCACTGCTGCAGAGTCCAATGGCGGTGGGTTTTACACCACTCCAGCTGACGCTTGGCATTGCGCATGGTGATCTTAGGCTCGTGTGCTGCTGCTCGGCCATGGAAACCCATTTCATGAAGCTCCCGACGAACAGTTCTTGTGTTGACATTGCTTCCAGGGGCAGTTTGGAACACGGTAGTGAATGTTGCAACCGAGGACAGACGATTTTTACACACTACGCGCTTCAGCACTCGGTAGTCCCGTTCTGTGAGCTTGTGTGGCCTACCACTTCGCGGCTGAGTCGTTGTTGCTCCTAGATGTTTCCACTTCACAATAACAGCACTTAAAGTTGACCGGGGCAGCTCTAGCAAGGCAGAAATTTGACGAACTGACATGTTGGAAAGGTGGCATCCTATGATGGTGCCACGTTGAAAGTCAGAGATCTTCAGTAAGGCCATTCTACTGCCAATGTTTGTCTATGGAGATTGCGTGTCAGTGTGCTCAATTTTATACACCTGTCAGCAACGGGTGTGGCTGAAAAAGCCAAATCCACTAATTTGAAGGGGTGTCCACATACTTTTGTATATATAGTGTATCTCAATAATAAACAAGCTGCCTATTGTAAACTGCATTGTAATAAACTCTTGATTCATGATGAGATCGTTAATCCTAGCAATTTAGCCGATAAATGACACCTACGATGTCCAGGCAGGTGACATTTCAGAATGTAACATGAATTCTGTCATATGGCACAATAAATATCATGAGGTCAAGCTTTGACCTTGTGATATTTTAAAACAAACTTATAGCCTACTCACATCTCTTCTGTCCAGTGGGACCGATGTTTCTTCACTCCAGGTGTTTTGTTGCATTGCTGCAGTCCAGGTAACCTGCAATGAAAAGAAACACTGTTGTCAATTATTTCGCAAGAGACCACCACATTAATAGCAATTCAAGTTGTAAATTATTGACACACAATTATTTTTATCTCAAATTGCCTCTACGAAAAATATGTTTGAAAATGTATTTAATTGCAAAAGAGGGAGAATACCCTATTACAAAGCCTCTTTATATCCAAAGTAATGTACTAAGATTGTGGTTGTATACTGTTTTTCCAATAGATAGCAAGTACCAGTAATTACAATAATTGAACCCTTGTGGACTAAAATAAACGACCAACATCATGATCAAGCAATGTTTGTTTTTCATCTTGTTAGTTAGCACCCCCTACTGTTAAATCTGTTCTTTACAGGGTCCCAGGGCTTTCCAAGCTGAGGTAAAGGATACAGCACTTTCTCAGGCCAGTCTTGTAATACAGATTTGAGAACCCACTTCTAGCTGATCCAGGATGATATCCTTGCCAATTTTGCTGCCACCATGCACATTATCACTTTCTCAAATAATTTCTCCCCTCCCCCATAATGCATGTTATTCCATAATTAGTTTAGCACATGACTAAACACTGCCTGCACATTAAATAGTTTGAATGTGATAAATCCTGCAGGTAGCTATGTGACCAATTCTCCATCGCCAGGCTATTCTAAAATAATTTAGGCGATAAACAAACTATGAGGACATCATTTAAAAAGTCTGATACAGTAACGTTAGTGTGATACTGACAGCTAGTGGTAGTCTGGCACTGTACTAGCCGGTCCACGTGGAGGAAACATCTAATAATTCAAAAGGTAAACTTTTTTTTAAACCTTTATTTAACTAGGCAAGTCAGTTAAGAACAAATTCTTATTTACAATGACAGCCTACACCGGCCAAACCCGGACGACGCTGGGCCAATTGTGCTAGTTTGCTAGTTTGTTTGCAAAATTGGGATAGATACATTGCTAGCTGTAGAATAGTTTACGCAAGTGTTGAATTTAAGTTATCACTTCAAGCTCCTTGTCTCTACTAGGAAGTTAGCTAGCTACCCCAATGATTATGATAACTTTAATCTGTGATTGGACTGTAACAGTGTAATGTTAAACGTTAGCTAGTCAGGACTAGGCTAGATAACATATGCCTACACATATCATTCGTTTCAGCTTTAGCTGCTTACCAAATAATAACATGTATATCTTCTGAGTTCGCACACTTGACTTGACCCATTTGTTTAGCTAGTTTAGCTAGCTACATAAACACTTGTATGAAGCAGATCATTAAAATAAATTCACCCGAGGTTCCTGAACTAAAACTTTCGAGCGCATACCTAACGTTACGCACTGCAACAAACGACGCCCCCTAGTGGACAAATAGACTGCTGTTTTTCCCGCCAAATGTGAAGTAACGTATGTAAATATATTTGTAAGATATTTGCGTTAATACAGTACTTTTATTGAAATAGTTTATTTTATGTGGACAACATTGGAAACATTTAGCTACTTTCATTCATTATATCAATGACTCCTCACTGCAAGGAGAAATGAAGGATGCGTTTGAAAAAGGTATTCAAACGAGGCCCACTCATAAACCGGATGGTGTTACACTTTAAAGGGTTGCATTTCCTGTTGCTACACTGTTATCATTCCCGAAAATGGCGAATTTAGCAGCTGCTGTTGTTGCTGCGGCTGGCAGAGATCCCGCGGTTGACCGTTCATTGCGCTCCGTCTTTGGTACGTTTATTTATAGAGTAATACTAGTTGTTTCAAAAGTGTATGTATGTCGGATAATAAGGTAGTACTGATGTGACAGCTAGTTGAGCGAGCTGGCTAGCATGCAAAACGCGCTAGACAGTAGCTTTAGCTAGCTTCCTTTAGCCAACGCGTTATCACTGAAATGTGTGCAGGATCTGTATCAAAATTCTTTTTTATAGTATGTCTCACGTTAGCTAAACTATTCATCTCTGTCAGTATTACAAAACTTGAGCAAGAATCAGGGTTTACGGGAGACGTTGAATATGGCTATTCCTCTAAACCCAGATTCTAGTTCACACGAAACTGTTGCTAACTATATTGAACAAAAATATTAACGTAACATGCAACAATTACAAGATTTTACTGAGTTACAGTTCATATAAGGAAATCAGTCAATTGAAATGAATTAATTTGGCCCTAATCTCTGGATTTCACATGACTGGGCAGGGGTGGAGCCATGGGTGGGCCTGGGAGGGCATAGGCCCAACCACTTGGGAGCCAGGCCAAGCCGATCAGAATGAGTTTTTCCCACAAAAGGGCTTTATTGCAGACATAAATACTCAGTTTCATCAGCTGTCCGGGTAGCTGGTCTCAGACGATCCCACAGGTGAAGAAGCCGGATGTGGAGGTCCTGGGCTGGCGTGGTGACACGTGGTGTGGTCTGCGGTTTTTAGTCCGGTTGGACATACTGCCAAATTCTCTAAAACAACATTGGAAGTGGCTTATGGTAGAGAAATTTACATTCAATTATCTGGCAAAGCTCTGATGGATATTCCTGCAGTCAGCATGCCAATTGCACGCTCCCTCAACTTGAGACATCTGTGGCGTTGTGACACAACTGCACATTTTAGTGGCCTTTTATTGTCCCCAGCACAAGGTGCACCTGTGTAATGATCATGCTTTTTAATCAGATTCTTGATATGCCACACCTGTCAGGTGGATGGATTATCTTGGCAAAGGATAAATGCTCACTAACAGGGATGTAAACAAATTTGTGCACAATTTGAGAGAAATACGCTTTTTGTGCGTATGGAACATATCTGGGATCTTTTATTTCAGCTCATGAAACATGGGACCAACACTTTACATGTTGCGTTTTATATTTTTGTTCAGTATAGTTAGTTAGCTAGCTAGCTAAGTGTAAACCCATGTTAGCAATGTGTATAGCTAGTTAGCTATATAGCTTGCTAATAGTGTCATAACACAGTCTTGGTCATAATTATATCACATAGCTAGCAGTGCTGTCTGCAGCAGGTGCTTAGCTAGCTAGCTAACTTGCTGTTGTTTCACAGACAACAGCAACGGGAATTAACATGTCTGGCGCTTCCAAAATGGTTAGCTCAAATCAAATCAAATTTTATTGGTCACATGCGCCGAATACAACAGGTGCAGACATTACAGTGAAATGCTTACTTACAGCCCTTAACCAACAGTGCATTTATTTTTAACAAAAAAAGTAAAAATAAAACAACAACTAAAAAAGTGTTGAGAAAAAAAGAGCAGAAGTAAAATAAAATAACAGTAGGGAGGCTATATATACAGGGGGGTACCGGTGCAGAGTCAATGTGCGGGGGCACCGGACTAGTTGAGATAGTTGAAGTAATATGTACATGTGGGTAGAGTTAAAGTGACTTTGCATAAATAATTAACAGAGTAGCAGCAGCGTAAAAAGGATGGGGTAGGGGGGCAGTGCAAATAGTCCGGGTAGCCATGATTAGCTGTTCAGGAGTCTTATGGCTTGGGGGTAGAAGCTGTTGAGAAGTCTTTTGGACCTAGACTTGGCACTCCGGTACCGCTTGCAGTGCGGTAGCAGGGAGAACAGTCTATGACTAGGGTGGCTGGAGTCTTTGACAATTTTGAGGGCCTTCCTCTGACACCGCCTGGTATAGAGGTCCTGGATGGCAGGAAGCTTGGCCCCAGTGATGTACTGGGCCGTACGCACTACCCTCTGTAGTGCCTTGCAGTCGGAGGCCAAGCAGTTGCCATACCAGGCGGTGATGCAACCAGTCAGGATGCTCTCGATGGTGCAGCTGTAGAATTTTTTGAGGATCTGAGGACCCATGCCAAATCTTTTCAGTCTCCTGAGGGGGAATAGGCTTTGTCGTGCCCTCTTCACGACTGTCTTGGTGTGTTTGGACCATGATAGTTTGTTGGTGATGTGGACACCAAGGAACTTGAAGCTCTCAACCTGTTCCACTACAGCCCCGTCGATGAGAATGGGGGCGTGCTCAGTCCTCTTTTTTTTCCTGTAGTCCACAATCATCTCCTTTGTCTTGGTCACGTTGAGGGAGAGGTTGTTGTCCTGGCACCACACGGCCAGGTCTCTGACCTCCTCCCTATAGGCTGTCTCATCGTTGTCGGTGATCAGGCCTACCACTGTTGTGTCGTCGGCAAACTTAATGATGGTGTTGGAGTCGTGCCTGGCCATGCAGTCATGGGTGAACAGAGAGTACAGGAGGGGACTGAGCACGCACCCCTGAGGAGCCCCCGTGTTGAGGATCAGTGTGGCAGATGTGTTGTTACCTACCCTTACCACCTGGGGGCGGCCCGTCAGGAAGTCCAGGATCCAGTTGCAGAGGGAGGTGTTTAGTCCCAGGATCCTTAGCTTAGTGATGAGCTTAGAGGGCACTATGGTGTTGAATGCTGAGCTGTAGTCAATGAATAGCATTCTCACGTAGGTGTTCCTCTTGTCCAGGTGGGAAAGGGCAGTGTGGAGTGCAATAGAGATTGCATCATCTGTGGATCTGTTGGGGCGGTATGCAAATTGGAGTGGGTCTAGGGTTTCTGAGATAATGCTGTTGATGTGAGCCATGACCAGCCTTTCAAAGCACTTCCATGGCTACAGACGTCAGTGCTACGGGTCGGTAGTCATTTAGGCAGGTTATCTTAGAGTCCTTGGGCACGGGGACTATGGTGGTCTGCTTGAAACATGTTGGTATTACAGACTCAGTCAGGGACATGTTGAAAATGTCAGTGAAGACACTTGCCAGTTGGTCAGCACATGCTCGGAGTACACGTCCTGGTAATCCGTCTGGCCCTGCGGCCTTGTGAATGTTGACCTGCTTAAAAGTCTTACTCACATCGGCTACGGAGAGCGTGATCACATAGTCATCCGGAACAGCTGGTGCTCTCATGCATGCTTCAGTGTTGCTTGCCTCGAAGCAAGCATAGAAGTGGTTTAGCTCGTCTGGTAGGCTTGTGTCACTGGGCAGCTCGCGGCTGTGCTTCCCTTTGTAGTCTGTAATAGTTTTCAAGCCCTGCCACATCCGACGAGCGTCAGAGCCAGTGTAGTACGATTCAATCTTAGCCCTGTATTGACTCTTTGCCTGTTTGATGGTTCGTCGGAGGGCATAGCGGGATTTCTTATAAGTGTCCGGGTTAGAGCTGGCCAATGTCCTGCGATCCAGGCTGTGTACGCAATTTTTTTCAGATTACATTTATTGTTGTCTAGCTACCTAGGATTCTTGTATTCTATAAGTTTCTCCACAACTCAGTCAAATTGCTGACTGGAACACTTACTCAATTTTACAGTGGGAAACATTCCATATGAGGCCACAGAGGAGCAACTGAAAGACATTTTTTCAGAAGTCGGTCTCGTTGTCAGCTTTAGGTAAGTGAGCAGTCTTAGTGTCACTCGGTCTCCTTTTTACTCAATTAAATACCTGATTTAGCCCCCAAAACATATTTACCAGCCCTCTGGTTGACCTATTTCTGAGAAACGTCCCATCACCGAAGGAGAATCTATAATCTGGAAGGCCTTACCAGTCGGTATGGGTTATACAATGTGTGAACTACAGTAAAATAGAAGTTCATATCAACATTTTACCTAGCGAGCTCACAAGTCCCGGTTCTCCGTAGTAGTTGCCAGGCAAGATTACTGCGCTATCCCAGACTCTGGAAAAGTTGGATATAAACACTTATTTTCACACATTTTATAACCCGTATCGACTGGTAAGGCATTCCGGATTATAGATTTGCGTTCTGTGACGGGAAAAGTTTATCGGAAATAGGTGAACCAGAGAGCTGGTAAATGTTTTTGGGGATACTGGATGTAGCCTTCAGCGACGGGAGCCCAGGTCTCCCCCGGAGCGAAGGGGCTAGCTTTTATGATACCTGTGAAAATGGTTTGTAAGCCTTGGCCCTCTTTCAGGTTGGTGTATGATAGGGAGACGGGCAAGCCGAAGGGATATGGCTTCTGTGAGTATCAGGACCAGGAGACGGCCCTCAGTGCCATGCGGAACCTGAACGGAAGAGAATTCAGCGGCCGAGCTCTCCGTGTCGACAATGCTGCTAGTGAGAAAAACAAAGAAGAGCTCAAGAGTAAGTATCCACTGTTGTGCACTATTAACCACAATGGAAAGTGTACACTGCAGTTCACTATTAACCACAATGGAAATTTGAAGAGGGGATGGGCCATGTTTTGCTGCTTCTCAATAATTGGTAGAGATGTTAGCTTTCAGCATAACTCTTAGGACATAACTCCTGTTGTCGTCCCCCAGGTTTGGGGACGGGAGCCCCCATCATTGAGTCTCCATACGGTGACAACATCGTGCCAGACGAGGCTCCGGAGTCTATCAGCAGAGCTGTGGCCAGTCTGCCCCCAGAACAGATGTTTGAGCTCATGAAACAGATGAAGGTGAGTGTGTTCTCTCAATAGACTCTACGCACAGTGACCGCTGCTGTTCTCCCAGTATCCTTGTATTGAGATTGTATATCATCACATTATAGCAGGATAATTGGAATACATTGGACTCACATTGTGGTGTAATTATCCCCTCCAGCTGTGTGTGCAAAACAGTCCCCAGGAGGCCAGGAACATGCTGTTGCAGAACCCCCAGCTGGCCTTTGCCTTGCTGCAGGCCCAGGTTGTCATGAGGATTGTAGACCCTGAGATTGCCCTGGTGAGACTTGGTTATTCTGAAGTATCATTCAACTTGGGTCAGTGCAAATGCACTCATAAATGGTTTTGAGTTAATGGAAGCACCAGTGTTGTGGATGTCTTACTGACTTTAGAGCGTAACTGTTCAGAGGCTTTTCTCCTTGAGCATGAAGTAATTCAGAGCTGATATTGGTCGCACATGTTCTCGTTGAGAGAGGTGTCAATGTGTAACCTGGATGTTCCTTTGTTTGTTTGACCCCTTCTGTAGAAAATGCTTCACCGTCAAACCCCAGTGCAGCCATTGGTTCCAAACAGTCAAGCTGGACCAGTGCCAGTGGCCAACCAGCCTATTCCCTCGGCCAGTGCTCCAGTCTCCCAGTCACAGCCCATGGTGAATCCACTTTGGCAGATACCTACACTGACATATAGCTAGCAAATCGTGTCATTTATTAGAATTTAGATCAAATTAAGTAATCTGGCAGTTTTCTACATCTATTAGATCAACCTACACAATCTCTAAAGCTAAATTTAACATTTAATATATATTTTGAAATAATTGTTACATGATGCATGTCTGCTGTTCTCTGTCCTAATGTCTGGTTGTGTGTGGTGGTCAGCCGGGCATGCACATGAACGGAGCCCCTCAGATGATGCAGCCCCTTCCAATGGGTGGGGGACCTGGGCCCATGCCAGGACAGGGACCTGTGGGACCACCAGGTAAGGAGACACACACACTCACACACAGCCTCTCTGTATCCAGAAGTCAAAGGAGCACCCCTGTTGTGCTTCCCTTTGCCATTTCACCCCAGGCGGGATACAGTCACCGATGGGAGTTCCTCAGGGAGGTCCCGTTCCTATCGATAGGGGACAAGGTAATCTAACATGCCTGTGTCTACAATGAAGCTATTTTTTGTTTTGTTTTATGGCCTCACAATCCATCCACCCACCCATCCATTTCTGGTCAGCGGTCCCAGTGCTTCAATTGAAATATCTTCCAGTTATTAAGTCTTCGCTTTATCACATTTTGCCCTCTGCTTTTTTTTCATGTCTTCCTTTCCTCCGTTGCTCTTTGTTGACACTAGGTGGCAGTGGGAACTAGTGATTGAAGAGCTTCAGGCCTAGGGTTAACTCAGCTTGCGGAAATGCTCATAGATTGCCGTTAGAAATATAACGTAATGGATCAGATATGATTGTCCAACTATGTAGATATCAGTGAGACTTTTATTTTTAGGGGATACTGAAGTACATCTCTATCTGCAATATATTTGTCCAACATTTTAACCACTAATTGCACCTCATCCACTTCAGCCATCCATATCAGTTAGGATTTAGCACTGCCTTCTGTTTGCTCTGAACTGTAGCTATGAAGTCAGTGTGGCATGCGATGGTGTGCTCCTATGTGTTGCTGCTTTGCTCTCTGAGTCGTGTGTCTCCTGTTTTTTTCACTTAATGCTGGCTCAGGAAACCTCCAGCACTCTCCCGTAGGATCGTCTGGTCAGGCTGCTATCGAGCGACCTCAAGGTATCACCCACACCCTAACCCCAGGCTCCGGCCTGCCTCCCCAGACTCCAGCCAGGCCAACAGGGCTGTTATGAGCTGGCTATAGCCTGACGACCGGGGCTGGAGCGCTCTTATTTCTTATATTTGCTATGTAAAACACGAGGAACTTTTGAGGGCACAAGTTGCAAGTCGAACTTGAAAACATCTCTCGAGCAGTAGTTATGTAGGTGTCCTGTCAGAATAAATACATTTAGGTAATTTATAAATGTTTTATTAATCTGACTGGTCTTGCATACAGTTACAACGAAGTATGGGTGTTTGCTTCAGGCTAACAATACCTATTTAATTGTTATAATAACCTGTCATGTCATAGTTTGGGAGAGGCGTGTGGTGCAACCGCAAACTATGACTGATTAGTCCCAAGATACAAGGTCGATGAATTATTTGAGTGATTGCTGTAGTTGCACAATGTTCCTAAGAAAGCCCATATGAACAAATAGAAATGTAATGTCAAGGAATAGGATTAATACATTTCTTCTAGCACGTATCTGTGTTGTAGACTAAGACCTGCTGTTTTTGCAATTACATGATGAACACCCCGTGGTCTTCATGTGTCACTAACGCATGGCTCTTCTATTGATGTGACCAGACGTACAAGACACAAGTAGGCAAACCACTTGAATGTAGATCATTTTCAAAGATGTGCCGTGCTCCTTTTGTGAGAGACCTCCCTCTTTGGTAGAGTACTACCCTGTTCCGCTGTCCCTCGGTCCTCTCCCTGTCTGTGGTGTGATGGTGAGCTGTGTCACTGCTGTGCTGTGGTTAATGTGACCTGTAGGATATGTCTGTAGAGTGTGACCTATGGCAGTGATGTGATATGACCATAGAATTCAAACTCTATCTCTATGTATGCATTACGGCGTCGTGAGTGATGTTGTGTGCTGTGATAGGTGGATTCCCTCCTACATGTCTATGGCTGAGTGATGTGTGTGTGTCCCCCCCCCCCCCCCCCCTCAGGACCAGGTGGTATCCCTCCCAGAGGCCTGCTTGGCGACGGCCCCAACGACCCCAGAGGAGGAACCCTGCTCTCTGTCACAGGAGAGGTCATCGAACCCAGGTGAGAGAAGAGTAGGGCTGAGGCGGTCGTGAAATTTTGTCAGCCGGTGATTGTCAATTAAATAACTGCCGCTCTCACGGTAATTTACCTTTTAAATTAACATAAACACGTTTAGCATCTCCGGCCTTCCACGCATAGCCTACAAGCCACTGATGTGGACCTTTGGAACATCTACATTTAAAAAAGTCTAATAAATCCATTTAATATAGCCTACACCATCACAATAAATCCATGATTTATTATAGGCAGGTCTAAAGAAACATTATGATATGAAGAAAATGTAGCCCATTTCAGAAGAACAGAATAGCATTTTCTGAGTCGTCCTTATGCTAGGCCTGATCTGGCTACATGCCATATGGCTGTAGGCTACACTAGTTCATTTAGCAGGCAAGGTTTGCTTATAATTCCCGTGGCATTGTTTTATATTTTATAGTAACAACAATAAAATGAACATAGCTGAATAAAATGGAAAGGATATTTTTCCCCAAACGATTTTTGAGGGAGCGCGTACATGCGGCTATTCTGTGCTGAGTGGTTAACAAAGAAACAGGTCCTCCTATATGCTTAATTTAGTTATTTATGCAACTTTAGTTGTGATACAAACATTAGGCTATATGTTTTGATTTCTAATACATTCTAAGGCTGCATGATGCAATGAATGGTGATTTGAAAAATGTTGCATCGTTTCTTGCGAAGGCTGCACAGACATCAGTCTCTCATTCACAATTTGACAAGCACTTGATAATATTCTCACGTATTATTCTCCATTTAATCTGGTCTTTACATATAGCCAACTAATATACAGTCAGGTCCATAAATATTTGGACATTGACCAAGTTATTATTATTTTAGCTGTCTACCACAGCATATTGGAGTATAAATTAAATAATGAATATGAGCTGAAAGTGCAGACTTTCAGCTTTAATTTGAGGTTATTTACATCTAAATCGGGTGAACAGTGTAGGAATTACAGCACTTTTTATATGTTGTCCCCCCCTTTTTAAGGGACCTAAAGTAATTGGACAATTGGCTGCTCAGCTGTTCCATGGCCAGGTGTGTGTTATTCCCTCATTAGTTCATTTAAGCAGATAAAAGGTCTAGAGTTGATTTCAAGTGTGGCATTTGCATTTGGAATCTGTTGCTGTTAACCCTCAATATGAAGTCCAAAGAGCTGTCACTGCCAGTGAAGCAAGCCATCATTAGGCTGAAAAATCAAAACAAACCCATCAGAGAGATAGCAAAAACATTAGGTGGCCAAATCAACTATTTGGTACATTCTTAAAATGAAAAAATGCACTGGTGAGCTCAGGAACACCAAAAGGCCCGGAAGACCACGGAAAACAACTGTGGTGGATAACAGAATAATTATTTCCCTGGTGAAGAAAAACCCCTTCACAACAGTTGGTCAGATCAAGAACACCCTCCAGGAGGTAGGCGTATCTGTGTCAAAGTCAACAATCAAGAGAAGACTTCACCAGAGTAAATGCAGAGGGTTTACCATAAGATGTAAACCATTGGTAAGCCTCAAAAACAGGAAGACCAGATTAGAGTATGCCAAAAAACATCTAAAAAAAGCCTGTACAGTTCTGGAACAACATCCTATGGACAGATGAGACAAAGATCAACTTGTACCAGAATGATGGGAAGAGAAGAGTATGGAGAAGGGGAGGAACTGCTCATGCGTGGGCATGTATGGCTGCCAATGGAACGAATGATGTGACTGCTGACAAAAGCAGCAGGATGAATTCTGGAGTGTTTAGGGCTATATTATCTGCTCAGATTCAGCCAAATGCTTCAAAACTCATTGGACGGCGCCTTACAGAGCAGATGGACAATGACCCGAAGCATACTGTGAAAGCAACCCAATACTTTTTTAAGGCAAAGAAGTGGAATGTTCTGCAATGGCCAAGTCAATCACCTGACCTGAATCCAATTGAGCATGCATTTCACTTGCTGAAGGCAAAACTGAAGTTAAAACGCCCCAAGAACAAGCAGGAACTGAAGACAGCTGTAGGAAAGGCCTGGCAGAGCATCACCAGGGAAGAAACCCAGCATCTGGTGATGTCTATGGGTTCCAGACTTCAGGCAGTCATTGACTGCAAAGGATTTGCAACCAAGTATTAAAACTCACAATTAAATGTATGATTGTTAGTTTGTCCAATTACTTTTGAGCCCCTAAAATTGGGGGGCTATGTATAAAAATGGTTGTAATTATTACACGGTTCATACAATAAGTTTGACAAAACCCTTAAATTTAAAGACGAAAGTCTACACTTAAAGCACATCTTGATTGTTTCCTTTCATATCCATTGTGGTGGCGTACAGAGCCAAAATGATGCAACTTGTGTCACTGTCCAAATACTTATGGACCTGACTGTATGTGTGGAATTATTTTAGACTTAGAATAGCCAACCCCCCCAAAAAATTATCTATAGCATGTGCTCGAATAGACGTTACCTGCAGTTACTTTTTTAATATGCCAGGACGGCTACACCGTTTGTCTTTTTGAATTTAGTAATAAATAAAGCAGCATGAGAGAGCAGGTATCCGCTTTTATTATATAGTGGCTAGTCAAAACTGTTGTCACATGCGATTGCGCAATGACTGGGCTTATAAGAACACGTTTCACTAGGCTCTGTAGGCTATGGGCTCTCCGTTGTGTGTGTGTGTGTGTGTGTGTGCAGCCACCATGTTCCAGGGGTTTTGGGCCTATAGGCTACTGGTGCGTTCAAGACATTTGGGAACTCTGAAAAATCCTGACATCCGTAATCTTCAGGTCGGAAAGTCAGAAAGTCGGAGCTCTAGAAAGAGGTTGGAATTCCGAGTTGGATGACCGTTCAAAATGATTTTATATAAATATAAAATATTTGAGATTCTTCAAATAGCCACCCTTTGCCTTGATGACTGCTTTGCACACTCTTGGCATTCTCTCAACCAGCTTCACCTGGAATACTTTTCCAACAGTCTTGAAGGAGTTCCCACATATGCTGAGCCCTTGTTGGCTGCTTTTCCTTAACCCTGCGGTCCGACTCATCCCAAACATCTCAATTTGGTTGAGGTCTGGGGATTGTGGAGGCCATGTCATCTGATGCAGCACTCCATCACTCTCCTTCTTGGTAAAATAGCCCTTACACAGCCTGGAGGTGTGCTGGGTCATTGTCCTGTTGAAAAACAAATGATAGTCCCACTAAGCCCAAACCAGATGGGATGGCGTATCACTGCAGAATGCTGTGGTAGTCATGCTGGTTAAGTGTGCCTTGAATTCTAAATAAATCACAGACCGTGTCACCAGCAAAGCACCATAACACCACCACCTCCATGCTTCACGGTGGGAATTACATATGCAGAGGTCATCCGTTCCCCCACACCGCGTCTCAGAAAGACGTGGCGGTTGGAACCAAAAATCTCAAATTTGGACTCCAGACCAAAGGACACATTTCCACTGGTCTAATGTCCATTGCGCAAGTTTCTTGGCCCAAGCAAGTCTCTTCTTATTGGTGTCCTTTAGTAGTGGTTTCTTTGCAGAAATTCGACCATGAAGGCCTGATTCACGCAGCCTCCTCTGAACAGTTGATGTTGAGATGTCTGTTACTTGAACTCTGTGAATCATTTATTTGGGCTGCAATTTCTGAGGCTGGTAACTCTAATGAACATATCCTCTGCAGCAGAGGTAACTCTGGGTTTTCCTTTCCTGTGGCAGTCCTCATGAGAGCCAGTTTCATCATAGCGCTGGATGATTTTTGCGACTGCACTTGAAGAAACTTTCAAAGTTCTTGAAATGTTCCTGATTGACTGACCTTCATGTCTTAAAGTAATGATGGACTGTCATTTCTCTTTGCTTATTTGAGCTGTTCTTGCCATAATATGGACTTGGTATTTTACCAAATAGGGCTATCTTCTGTATATCACCCCTACAGTGCCTTGCAAAAGTATTCATCCCCTTGGCGTTTTTCCTATTTTGTTCTATTACAACCTGTAATTTAAATTGATTTTTATTTGGATTTCATGTAATGGACATACACAAAATAGTCAATTGGTGAAGTGAAATGATGATTATAATTTGTTTTTCAAATAATTAGAAATAATAAATAACGGAAAAGTGGTGCATGCATATATATTCACCCCCTTTGCTATGAAGCCACTAAATAAGATCTGGTGCAACCAATTACCTTCAGAATTCACATAATTAGTTAGATTGCACACAGGTGGACTTTAAGTGTCACATGATCTCAGTGTATATATACACCTGTTCTGAAAGGCCCCAGAGTCTGCCACACCACTAAGCAAGGGGCACCACCAAGCAAGCGGCACCATGAAGACCAAGGAGCTCTTCAAGCAGGTCAGGGTCAAAGTTGTGGAGAAGTACAGATCAGGGTTGGGTTATAAAAAAATATCAGAAACTTTGAACATCCCACAGAGCACCATTTAAATAATGGAAAGAATATGGCACCACAACAAACCTGCCAAGAGAGGGCCGCCCACCAAAACTCACAGACCAGGCAAGGAGGGCATTAATCAGAGAGGCAACAAAGAGACCAAAGAAGGAGCTGCAAAGCTTCACAGCGGAGATTGGAGTATCTGTCCATACGACCACTTTAAGCCGTACACTCCACAGAGCTGGGCTTTACGGAAGAGTGGCCAGAAAAAAGCCATTGCTTAAAGGAAAAAATAAGCAAACACGTTTGGTGTTCGCCAAAAGGCATGTGGGAGAATCCCCAAACATATGGAGGAAGGTACTCTGGTCAGATGAGACTAAAATTGAGCTTTTTGGCCATCAAGGAAAACACTATGTCTGGCGCAAACCCAACACCTCTCATCACCCTGAGAACACCATCCCCACAGTGAAGCATGGTGGTGGCAGCATCATGCTGTGGGGAT